TCTGTATAAAAGTTGCAAGGGATCAGAAGCTGCACTGATACAAGGGTCATCAGCCTTCCCTGTCACAGAGAAAATGAGGAAACCAAAGCGGTTCCTCTGGCCACATCTATTTTGTACATTAGCCAAGGAATCAGCTGAATAAATGTTCATAAAAGAACAGAGTGTTTCGCTCTCATCAATAAAGATTTCTGAGCAGAATTAATTATTTTAAGTACAGACAGGGATGTTCAATTTGTATTTTATCTTACAACTTCCATCAGCCCTTGTCAGCATGAAAACACTGAAGGATCATGGAAGCATTAGGCCAAAGTTGCCACAAGATGCCCACCCTGGTACAGAACAAGGACTATACTAGGATGATAACACTGACACATCTTGAGCTGATTGGTAAGCAACGTCCTAAGTGTGTGTGTGTGTGTGTGTGTGTGTGTGTGTGTGTGTATTAGTTTTCTGCAACACCAACTACTTGGAATGGATTTTAAAGAAAAGTTAAAGGCCTCTTTGATTTATGTTTCTCCTTATCTTTGTATCTTTATCTTTTTTACTTACTGTATTCCTTTATTAACGATGTTGAGACTTTTGCTTTCTAAAAGATTTTTTCCTGTGTCCTCAGAGATATGGGCCCAAAGCATTAATAAACATATACCCCCAAAGGGAACATCATTCCTTTAGAAATTATGAATTTTTTTACATTAAAAATAGAAATCCAAGAAAAGGAATTTGTTAATTCTAAACAGCCTGAAAAATCATTGTATTCCAGGAAAAAGGAAACACTGGAGTATAACCATTTTGGTTACAACCAATCAGAGTTGAGGGATTTATAGTTAGACACTAATCCGATACTTATATCCAGAGTGTAGAGATTTGCATAACTAAGAAGAAAACTGTATGGTTACACTTCAGGCGCCTTATAGCATCCCTACACTTTAGTTCCATGAGTCACTTTTGCCATTTTATTCCCAGTACAAAGAGCAATATGACAATCCATCCTAAAAATGTATATGTTAGCAACAAATGCTTAAACTCTCCTACCAATGACATTGGAGAACACTTAGCAATACTATTACAAGCAGATGAGTGCTCCTAATTTGAACTCACATGAGCAAGAATTCTAATTCTTCCGTTATGCTAACTCCCTTGATCTTTGATACAGAGGCCCTGGAATTAATGAGTTTAGCAGAGCGGGTGGGCAGGCATGGAACAGCTTCAGATAGGCATGTGTATTACTTGCCAAACACAGAGCTACTGTTTCTTTTCTCCACTTCCACCTGCCTCCCTTTCCAGGCTTCACAACTGCTTCTGAATTCCTTATATTCCTGATATATTGTAGGGGAAAAATCCATAGAATCCTCATACAAAAAGAAATACACTGAGCATGGACACGTGCACATTTTATACTCAATTAAGAGCAGCATCATGACCACAAGAATTACATGAAGCTGTGAGTTTGTTGCTAAACCCATTACTTAGCCTTGCATTTCTAATACAAAGGCATGATATTAGAGGTGAAATGAATCTTGAATGCATTTAGAAGGAAACAGCCACATATTGTTTAAACCAAATGCCCATGAGGCTTCAAACAAGTATTATAGGCATCCATTGTCAAACAGTGTTTTCATGATCTTCTTTAAAAAAAGGAACTTGTGACATACATGTTCCTCTAAGACTTAACACATATGCAAGGAACTATTTGTACTGAAATTATCAGTATGAAGACTCATGCCTTCACTAGACATTTAAAAATAAACTGCTGTAGGAATTGTTTTATTTTGTCTTTCCAACCAGCAGCTTTACTGTCAATCCTATGTTCTCCAATACATTATCTACAATTCACTGAGTGCAGCAAGTTTTATTTTAAGTAAGTGAAAAGATCTGGTTATTTCGTTTTGTTGCTGTTTCTGTATTATACAGACAAAGAAAACAACTACACAGTTGATTATTGTTCTATAATCAATGTTGAAAAAGCACACTCTACATTTTTAAAATTAAAACTTCATTTTCACAGGTTCTTAATGGAACAATTGCCACACAAAAAAGGAAGTGCAGTGCATCACGAAGCAAACACAAGTTTGGGATTGGCATGGAGATGTAGGTGTGGGAATTTTGCAGAAGAAAACTGATGGGGGAGAGGGGTGTATAACCCTGCTGCCTCCCATCAATTTTGTCCTTCTATCAAGTTTTTCTTCCCATCAGTGCCCCTTGGAATTCTTCTTCTACATATGAGTTAAAATCAGTTGAGCTGAGCACACATTTCCATCCCGGCATTGCCCCTAACTGAAAAATCCATAGAAAATTACGTTTGTAAAATGTGTTTCACTTAGACAATACGCAGTTCTTTTTAAGAGAGACACATAATTTCCCCCTTAATATTAATTAAGTAATCCTGTGCAGATATTGTCTAAGTTGGACCTTGATGAAAATAAAAGCTAATGAAATGCCAGAATTAGGTCATTTTAATAACAATACTGAAAACAGAAATCTTGACTAGCAGCCCCAAAGCCTGTTTGCAAAAATTGTAGGAAAGTTCTACTTGTGGCTGCATTAATACAAGCATCTCCTCCAATTCATGTGAAATACTAGTTCCCCTCTATTCTGTACTGGTTAGGACTCATCTCGAATGTTGTGTCCTCTTCTGGGCACCATAGTCTAAGAAAGATGCAAACGGAAAAGGGTTCAAGGGAGGGCAAAAAGGCTGATCCCAGAACTGGAACAAAGACTGGAGAATTGGGCATGTTTAGCCTTGAGAAGAGAAGACTGAGAAGATATATGATAGCAGTCTTTAAGTACTTGAAATATAGGCACATACATGAAGTCTGGGATCTCTTGTTGATCATTTCAGAGTGCAGAACAGGATCAAGTTACAGGAAGCCAGATTCCGGCTGAACATCAGGGAGAACTTATTGTTAGAGTAATGGGACAATGGAGCCAATTATCTAAGGAGGTTTTGGGTTCCCCCACACTAGAAACATTCAAGATGCAGTTGGACAGCCATCTAAGAGGATGGTTTAATGTGAAGTCCTTCACTGAGCAATGGGTTGGACCCAAAGGCCTTCTTTTTTCCAACTCTACCATTCTCTGATTATTTGAAGTTTTAATTCACATTAGCCATAGGCCTGTTCCAATGTGATCCAAAACCAGCTCTCCAGATGTTTTGGTTTACAATTCACATTGTCCTTACCCAACATAGCCATTAGTGAAAGATTGTGGGAACTGTAGGCCAAAACTTCCAGAGAACTACAAGTTGGACACCCCTGCCCTTGATGGAAAGGAGTGCAGAATTTAAGACAGAAGATACCATAAGCACTAGAACCAGGGCTTTTTTTTTTTTGTCATAGAATGCACCGGAACAGTGTTCCAGCACCTTTTTTTTCAATGGATTTTACTAAGTAATTATGAATCACCTGTTGGCACAGCGGGTCAGCAGCAAACATCATTAACATAGTGCCTGCGGGCTGCTTTTGTGTCTGTGCTGATAGTGAGATAGTGAGGGTGCTGCTCGGCTTGGGATCGGTGCGTGTGGCCACGCGATGCTTACTGCCGGCGGCGACCATTATGTTTATGTGTGTGCCGTGAGTTCCGGCATCTTTTTTTTTTTTTTTTTACAAAAAAAGCACGGACTAGAACTAACCAGTGACTTCATAAGATAAAACCTGATGTATAGTGATCCATAAGAAGCTTTATTCTTGTTTCATTTAAAGTAATAATGGGGCAGCTCAGTATTAACAAATAGGTGAGTTGAAGAAAACCAGTCAATAAGACAGGGGATAGTTTGTCTTACATTTCCTTATCCCTTGAAGTTCTGAAGTTATTTGCTTTGTGTCACTACTTGATGAAATCTATATGTCATTTCAAGTAAAATAAGAGCAATGGATCGTTCCATTTTTATTTCACAATCCATTTTATTAAAGTTGCAGTTCTATACACAGTTAGGGCACAATCGTATGCATGTGTGGACATAAAAAAGTTCCTACAACTCTCAGCAGGCCTTAACATGTTTGGTTAAGAGATGTAGGCCATTGTCTACCAAATATGCATAGGATTGCACATTTAGAGTCACTTCCACTGGATGTAATAAGATTGACTTTTGAGTAGTCATGTATCAGATTGCCCTGTTACTTCCATAAGATCACTTTCCTCTTAAAATGGTCAGAGTTCAGGTATTGTAGGAGAGACTGGATCACAATGGTCAGAATGAGGAACTGAGTTGTTAAACCATGTCTCATTGATTCATTATGTAGTCCAAGTCAAAGCTGCAAGGTGAGGAACATTATATTGCAAACACTAAATCAAAACAAATATAAGCTGTATCTACATCTGTTCACTACTGGTAAACATGACTGTATTCATGTATTCCCTATTCCTTAACTGTGATTATGGGTTATGCCTGCACAAAGTTCAGAATTCTCATGAATTTATTTTTAAATAAGAGCAGTTCTATATATGTGGGACTCAAAAGTAAATCCCATTGTATTTACTGGGGTTTACAATGTCGATGCATTGGATCACAGCTGTAGTCTGCTGGATGAATTACAGGTAGAACCTGTAAATACCAATGGAACTTGACCACTTCAAAACTGCTAGCATCACATCCTGAATTTATTTATTCAACACAGTGTCCTCAGTTGTTTTAAAAAGGAAATTTACTGTAATATCGCACAAATAAGAAATAAAATCCTTCTGAAATAAACTCAAACATATTTAGTATGAATGAAAAATAAGTGATTTTTTTCTTACACAAAGTCACTTTCACCACTGTAGCAATACCCCAAATTCTAAACCTCACCCTAAAAAAACAGTCTGATAAGCTGGGGCATCGGGGGGAGCAATTAACAAAAATGGAAACATACATATGCATTTCCTTTGTAGAAGGGGTAGAGAAACAGTTAATTAATAGAGAACATACATCTATCTTGTTTAAAAAAGGAACATTAATAAACACACACATTTTTCAACCAGTCAGAAAACAGTGGAAAACTCTACCTGATTCTACTTTTACTTACGTGGAATTTTGTTTAGCTCATTCATAAATTTCTCCTTTACTTTCGAAAATACATCCTCTTTTCCTTCCCCTTTTCCTCCTCCTCCAGGAATTGCTGGCTCTGTGGCATTATTTGCTATTGCAGGAGGAACAATGGTGCCTAGTGGTGCTGCCAGAGCCTGATGTTGACTTTCTTTTGCCATTTTAGTCCCAAGGGAAGCTAAGATTGAAAACACAGCAGAGAAAAAATGTTCAAAAGGTTAAAATGCATGTTAGCTCAACAACAAACTCAAGAACCATAACCTGAATTGGTGCACCTGCTTCCTGGGTAAATATCACATCATTACCATATTGCTTCATGTTGGCTCATACAATATTTATTAGACTACAGGGAAAAGGAGTTTTCCAGAAGGTAATGGCTGTTTTTTTTTCTTATGTTGCTACTCCTTTTCAACATGACTGAATCTCAAACAGTTATTTCTGTTGGATACTTCAATATGGTTCAGCATCTGTTGTTTAAACTTTGGATTCTGCCCTTTCATTTTAAAGTATAAGTAAACTAACTAACAGCAGTTCCTTATATACAAACATTTAACTGCATTTGCATAATTATTTGTATATGTGCCTTGGATCTGAACAATTCAGAGCACCACAAGTAACTAAAATAGTAAATAATTACACCAGCATAATTAAGATATCTCCAAGCTTTCCTGAACTGTGTAACAAGCAGTGCCCCTCACTCAACCAGAACTATACATTATTCAGAAAATTGCTCCCATTTTACTCTGGAGCCACATTTATTGAAAGCAATTTTCCTTCCGCTGGCATTTACTTCAAACAATATTCTGTTAAATTATTTACTTTTCTTGTTGGTATATGGATGAAACCATTGCATCTGTGGGTCATTTAACTGCATCCAGTTGAAACACCCACAGTGCTGAAATAAAGACACTCTTCCATTAACATACTTTTAACTTAATGGTTATTTCATGGGCTTTTTGTGATACCTTTACTTGTTCTGTAGCATTAAGCAAAACACTTTTATAGAAACCATCCTAGAAGAATGTGAAAAGAGTGGGAAAAGAGTTGGGTGAAATATTTGCTTCTGAACAGACTGTTCTGATATTATGTGATACCCAAAGTCACAGTGATTTGAATATTTATTCTATTTCCTTATTTTTATTTCCCAAAATCATAAAGGGATTGGAGAGATAACAATTTTTCATTATTGCTCTGAGTGTGCAATTGTTTGCACTCTCTCAGAAAGAACTAAGCCTGTAGCTTCCCGTTGGGAAAGTATTAAAAAATACATACACAGCTAAAACCAAACTGAATAAGACTCATCAAACTAAGAGATACAAGAAACATCTAAATGTTTATATATAGCATGATTTATAGGTAAATTCTGCCACTCCCTTGCATGCTATTAGGCTATTCAATCAAATTATAAATGCTTTCTTTATTTTCCTAACTGCAGTTACTACTCGAAGTGTGTTATTCAGTAATTCCAAAGAGGAGATAACTGGCTCAACATTTGCAGTGTTTATGTTTGATGTATTTGAGATTCAAACAGTAGAAGTGGGAAAAAAGCAAATAAGCAGCCAATACAATAGGTTTAAAGGGGGAAATGCCAGTGAGACATTTTAGTGAACTGTGCCGGAGGCAAAAGCATTAGTTTTTATTTTTCAAGCTTCTTGCTTCCATTTCTCTGGTATCTTAAAGCCTGCTGTGGTTCCCAGATGCTCCACTCTTTTCTTTTTACCTTTTATCTGTTTATTGCAAAGGTAGCAACACAATATTTACCACATATTTCCTGTATATTTTGCTTCTTTTTAAAGAATTTCATATGTAATCTTTTATAATCCTTACAACACCTTGTAAGAGACCTCAATGCTATTATCGCTGTATGGCAAATGGAGGACTGAAGTGCTTGCCTAGGTAAGGGATGTCCATTTCGACAGTCTTGCAAGTGCTATGGATGACACTGGGGAAGAGAAAGATGTAGCCTGTGGCAGGGGGGAATGGGCTAGGGGTGATTGTCCGGCTATGTAGTTCATACATGGCAGAAGTAAGATTTGAACCTGACACTGCTTCATGCATGCAGAACATGGTGCTGGAGGAGAGCTTTGAAAATACCCTGGACTGGCAGAGAAGCAAGCAAGTGGGTTCTAGAGCAAATCAAGCAAGAACTTTCCTTAGAAGTAAAAATGTCTATGCTGAGGTCGTCTTACTTTGGGCACATTATGAGAAGGCAAAACTCCCTGGAGAAGACAATCATGCCAGGGAAACACCAAAGCAGAAGAAAAAGGGGAAGGCCAAATGACAGATGGATTGGCTCCATAAAGGAGGCCACACCCTTGAAATTACAACAGCTGAGGAGGGCTGACATGGATAGGACATTCTGGAGAGCTTTCAACTGTAGGGTAGCCATAAGCCAGATATGAGTTGACACCACATAACAACAAGTAGTAAGGGGAAGGCTGCTTGTACAAGATTTTTTCCTGTTGATTTTGCTTCTTCTGCCTTGCAGACCCACACCAAATACCTGGAGGGCCAAAGGAACACTAACTTTGGGCGATACTGCCCTCACACTGCCTTTTCTCACACCACAGCCCAGTCACATGCAGAATGTGTTTTGGGACTAGGACATTGCCCAAATCAGGAGAAGAGAAATGTATAGTTAAGATTTTTGCTTTAGTGGCTTGCTGCTTGCACAGCCTTTGGACTAAATCCCATCTTCTTTGTTTTAGGTTAGAGAGCGTCATTAAAATTAACATTGAGGACCCTGGGTCTAGAAGGCAGTGAGTATTCCCTCTGTAGGTTTATTTAACAACTACTGTATCGACAAGTTGGGTTTCACTGTACTTGTAGATAGAAAAGAGCTATCCAAGAAAGCCTACTCACAATACATTCTCTCTCACACACACTTATTTCTACTGGTGTAATCCACAGACCAGCTGTACAGGGTCATGTGGCACTGTGCTATTATCCCCAGACCTCTCAGCTGCAACAGAGGCACAGCCATGTCTGCAAATGCCTGGAAATTGCTAGAAATCAGCTGGCTATTCTGCCAGAGGAAAGAATCAGCACAGCATGGCTCTTTGTAGATCATCCTGTTGTGAGACAGCCCTCTGATTTCTGCAGGTGGGGCTATCTCTGTGGGTTTACCTTGACACAAAGCCAAATTATGGTACAGGATCTGGCAAAGGCATGTGAGGATTTCTGAGTACACTATGATTGCCGGTATATCTCTTTTCATGGCAGTCTGTTGTTCAGACATAGTTTCTTGATATAGGGATCTCGCTGGAATATTTGGAATTGGAAAGAGTTTGGAGGGGGGCAGGCAGATCATACCCCCAGATTAAGGGGAGAAGGCATGTGTGAAAGACCTGAGATATAGTTTTTGGAACTGAGAATACTTCCAGGCATTGCTCTGTCTTATTCATAGAATTTTGTAGGTGGTCCAGCTGGTGGTGTTATCCATTTGTAACCTTCCCATGTTTTCCTATCACTTAATTGTCTTTTTTCTTACCCAAGAAAATCCATTTAAGATGCAACAGTTTCACATTGCCTTTGGACAGAGGTTAGGCGTCCTCCATCTGGGAGGATCCAGACACAGGAAGAAACAGAGCAATATAAGCTGGGAACACTTTGTGGGTATAGTTTTCTTCCTGGGGATGTGTTACAAGGACACAGAACTTCTGTATAACAGGAGTGCTGCTTGCTCCCACATGCCATACTTGTACACTTGTAAATGTACAGGCTTATAAAACTGAGTTTTATAAGATAGCTTTGGACCATCAATATCTGTCTATTCAGAAGTATGCTTTTCAGAGTTAAAAGGGACTCTCTCCAGGTAAGTGTGCATGGGATTGCAGCCTAAATACCACTTCTGCTCTGAATTTTTTCCATGGCATTGGGAAAGATGCTCTCATGTTTTCTCCTCCTCAAAAAAGGCAAGAATCTTTTGGAAAGTTGATTATTGTCCTCAATTATACTGAAATCTAATTCCATGCAACCACAGTCCCTTGCATTCTATCCTTGTTAGTATTACCCATCTACTCCTCACTCCCCAGCTTCTATTGTGTCCTGCTACTTGAGAGAAACTTTAGCTATTACTATCATTATATTACATTTATGCCCTGCCTTTTTTGAAGAATGTAAGGTGACTTATACAATCCTGCTCCACTCCTTTTTATCCTCACAACAGCAGCCCTGTGAAGTAGGTTAGACTGAGAATGAGTGACTGGCCCAAGGTCACCCAAAGCTTCACAGCCAAGTGCAGATGGGAACCTGGATCTCAGGTGCCCAGTCAAACACTGCAAACACTAAACCACACTGAATATAGAACTTTGCTGCATCTTCATGTATAGTAAAGAAGCATCTAAAGTGACAGTACTATGTAAATATTGATAGTGGTCTAGTTCACAGGTGCCCCAACTGGCAATAGGGGAATGAATGAGGATCATGGTTGGCATAGGCTCTTGCTCTCTGAGCTTCACCCCAAAGCTTGGTCCACCTTATTCCTTATCCTGATTGGGAGCTTGTGTTCATTTAGGTATGCATTTCTATGAAACATGCAAGCTCTGCCGAAAAAAATGTGCTGGCTCTTGTATTTGGGAGGGTGAACAGGGCAAGTTGTAAATGCGAACAAAATCCTTGTATTTCCCTAGCACCAGTACAGTAAGCATGGGAAAGTACTATGCGCACATTGAAAGCATTGTAGGGGGCCTCTGGCCCCATGGGAAAAAGATCATGCATAGATCAAGCATGAAAAGCTATAGATCATGCATGGAAAAACCTTGATCATTCTGGCCTGCTAGCTTTCTTCTCTCTTCCTTTTTCAGGCCTTTCCCAAAGGTATGTCCCTTCTGCCTTCTAGACCAAAATAGTTTGCCACAGATTCTCACAGCAAACTACAGTACAGATTCTGAAAACTTTGGGCTATGCAGCATTTACTATGCTCACTGTCAAAAATTTAGACTAGCTACACAGTCTTCTACATATTTGGAAGCACGTCCTGCTGATTTGAATGGGACTGACTCCTAAGGAAGTCTCATCAACCAATGTTTATGCCGAACAGTTATTAAGTTATATGTTGCAATCTGACTGTTTTCAAACAGAAAACCTTCATTTCTGTGTATTCTGGTGACTGCCACATATTCTGAAGCAAAGCATGAAAAGTCAGCTGCATATTGAAGTG